ACTTGTATCTCTCAAAAAGCTACATCCAAGTCCTAATTCCTGGTACCTCTGAATGTGAACTTACTTGGGAAAAAAGTCTTTGCAGATGTAATTTGTATTGAAGTTGAGAATCTCAAGATAAGATCATCTTGGATTTAGGGAGGGCCCTAAATTTGATAACAGATGTGTTTCTAAGAAAAGGGAAAGATACGGCCAGGTGTGGTGGTTCATGCCTGTAATCCCAGCACTTTGGGAGGCCGAAGTGGGTGGATCACCTGAGGTCAGGAGTTTGAGTCCAGGCTGTCCAACATGGCGAAACCACTACTCTACTAAAAATACAAAACTTAGCCAGCCATGGTGGCACATGCTTGTAGTCTCAGCTACTCAGGAGGCTGGCGCAGGAGAATCACTTGAACTTGGGAGGCAGAAGTTGCAGTGAGCCAAGACCCTGTCATTGCACTGCAGCCCAGATGACAGAGCAAGACTCTGTCTCAAAAAAAAAAAAGAAAGAAAAAAAAGGGAAAGACACAGGGACACAGAGAGGGGAAGGTCTTATGAACAAGGCAGAGATTAGAGTGATGCTTCTTTAAACCAAGCAACACCAAAGATTGACCACAGCCACCAGAAACTAAGAGAAAGATCTGGAATGTATCCTCCCTCAGAGCCTCCAGAGGGAACAAACTCTGCCAACTGATTTCAGACTTCAGGTTTCCAGAAATGTGAGTAAATCATTTTCTGTTGTTTTAAGCCACCAAATTTGTTCCAGCAGGCATAGGAAACTAGCATATCCCCTTAGCCTGATCTTGAAGATCCCTCTTAATCTGGCTTTAACCTACCTTTTTGAGATTGTCTCTTACCAGTACCCTTTACAACTTCCCTACTTCTGTATCCTGCCAGTCCTTTGATCATGCAGTGATTATTTGTGCATTTTGTCTTTTCTAAGGTGATCCCTTTCCTTTGTCTAAAACTCATGTTTTCTCTATTCATTCAAATCCTGATCATGAAACGAAAGGCTCATCTCAGTCTACAGTGATTTATTTCCTCTTCTGAATTCTTATCAAACACATTTGACATTGAATCATATTTTGTGCACACAGTGTTTGCTTTGCTTTTAATGTATGTGTGACTTTCCTTAAGGGCAGGATGATATTTGCAACATAGAAGCTGTAGATTCAGTTAATGAAGACAGCAAGGATGGACAGAGAAAGCAGGTGTTGGGTTGAATTATGTCCTCCTATTTGCAAATTTGTATGTTGAAACCTAACTCCCAGTATCTTAAGATGTGACTGTATTTGTAGATCTTTAATGTGACCCTTTAAAGAGAAAAGGTGAAAGGAGGTCATAGATGTGGGCCCTAATCCAATTTGATTGGTGTCCTTATGAAGGGGAGCTTCGGACACACAGGGACAGACAGCAAGGGTGCACATGCACACACACACCATGTGCAGAGGCAGCAGAGGGTGGCCAGCCCAGGAAAGAGGTTTGGAAAGAACCTTCCTTTAGGACTCTCAGAGGAAACCAACTCTGCCAGCACCTTGATCTTGGACTTCCAAGTCTTCCAGTCTTCCAGTCTTCCGAACTGTGAGAAATTACCCAGTCTGTGCTATTTTGTTACAATAACTCTAGAAAACTAATGCAGCAAGTAAAAGGCTTAGTTAAGCATTGAAACATTAAGAGAGGAGGCTGAGGTAAGAGGATTGCTTAAAGCCAGCAGTTTGAGAACAGTCTAGGTAACATAATGAGAACTTGTCTCTACAAAAATTAAAAATTTAAAAAATTAGCCAGGAGTGGTGATGTGTGGTTGTAGTTCTACTTACTTAGAAGGCTGAGGCAGAAGATTGCTTGAGCCCAGGAGTTCAAGGTTGTAATGAGCTATGATCGTACAACTGCACACTAGCCTGGGTGTCAGAGTGAAACCCTGTCTCAGAATAAAATAGAATAAAATAAAAGAAAAAATAAGGGAGAAATAATACTAACATTTTTTCTACCTGAATTGATGGCATTGTCTTCTCGCAAGTACCAGCCATAATCCTAAAATGGTAGACTATTTGACAGAGCCCTTAGTAAAGGCCAGTGACTTCTGGGTTTATTATACAAGCAATATCGCTTCAGTATAAAGTTCAAAGAGGTCTGAGAGTGGAACTGGGACCTGGCCTCCACCACTCTTCATCTTTTTCTAGAACGTTATTATTGTATATCCTATAGTCAGGAAGTTAATTGATATTCTCATGAGTTCATTTGCTAATCTAAAATCATAAAAGAGTTAGTCATGGGGTTTAAGCCTATACATTTTCTAGGATTAGTTATAAGGATACAAGGATTAGTGAGTCTACTGTGTAGTTGCTTGGCAAAAATTGGGACATCAGTTACTTTATTTTTTATTTTTATTTTTTGCAAAGCTCAGATCAGTTTATGCTTTTCTCTTCCTTATTCTTTTGCCACCCATAACTGCCATTGCTTAGAGAAAAAGATGCATTAGAATTGATTCCATATAATTCAAATTAAATTTGGAATCTTAGGCTCCCTAATTGGGAGGTAATTTTTAAAGGTTCATTGACAGAATGGAGTAGGTCCAGAGGAAGGCATCCAAAATTGTGAGAACCTTACACACTGAGACACCTGAGGGTAGTTGAAGGAGCAGACATCTCATCAGAAATACATGGAGGGCTCTCTATTGTATAAAGATATCAGCTCATTCTCCATGGCTCTTGAGGTAAGAGTTGGGCCTAAAAGATGGATCTTGCTGATTTCATTTCAACATTGAAACTTCCACTATGTAGTTTAATCTCCTAAGGACAAGAAGTAATGAAGAGTAGAGACCTATTGAGTGGTGATTGTTGTAGCCTAGTGGTTAAGAGCCTTTTAGAGTCCTAGCTTTGCTACTTATTAGTTTTGTGACTTAGTCAAGGCACTTAACTTCCCTTAGCTTTAACATCCCCATCAAAATGGGATTACTGCTTGTGCCTACCTCCTTTTCAGTATTAGGTAAAATAATGCATGTAAACTGATGAGGAAGCTGAATCTGAGCTGGGTGGTTTCACATATGTAGTCACAAAGTTGATCAATGTTTGTGCCCAGTTTTAAGCCCTAGTTTGTTTAACTTCATTATGCCACTTTGTTTCCAAGGTTCCTTCCCAAAAATAAAGGAGAAAAAATATAAATAGGAGGGCTACGGAGAGTACATTGAAAGGGAAAGGAGTTGATCCCACCCTTTACCTTCAGTTTGGCCACACAGTTAATGAAATGGTCTTACCAATGGAGTTACTCTGTCTAAACACCAAAAGGAGTGATTCCTTCTCCATCATCCCAAATCCCCACCTTCCCTGCCTCCTCCCTTCACTACTTTTTAGCCACTCGCAGGCTAAGTAGGGTGTTCCCAATCTGCACCTGGAATGTTTCTTGTAGGAGCCATTTCTCACCCACTCTTTGCCCTCTTCTATCACTTAAAATCATAGAGGGCTGTTCTGAAGCAGCTGGGCTTTCAAAACTGGGCTCATTGTAACATTAAAAAATTATTAAACTCAGAAACTAATTCTGTTTTTTAACCATAAAATATGAAAACTAGGAAGGAAACTGAGAAGAATGAAAGACCAAGTCAGCTGGATCTGAAGCAGGCCATTCTCAGGAAGACTCCTGAGGAATAATTAAAGCTCATTTTAAGCATCACCTCCTGGGTATCATCATCATCCCCAGGTAGTTTTCTGAGATAGTCCATTTTGAAACAGATATACCTTAAATTTTGTTAAAATGTACTAAGCACTTATTGAGCTCAGTGATCCTGAAACCGTCCTAATAATAAGCTGTCTAGTGGTGACTTATTAGCTAGGTTTATGTCTAGGAGGGATTATGAAGAATATGAGTTGTTTAACAGGGGTGCTTGTCATCACTAATGAACAACAAGAAATAGTTTGAAAACTTCTTTGAGATATTCACTTGCAAATGTCACTTGAGTTTCAGAAAAGTACAGTCTCTGGAGTAAAGCTACTATACGCTCAGTGAGGCTGTGTTGTGCTTTGGATGCGTTATATCATTTAGTTCTCAAAACATGTTGGCAAGGTTGGCATTATTATCTCCATTTTAAAGATGAGAAAATTAGGTACAAGGAGCTTCAGTAACATACTCAAACTCATTCAACAATAAACAACTAAAAATTGTGCTATCCACACTTTAAGAATCATGTGTTCCTCCTCCAAAATTATGAAAGACTGTAGAAGGAATTCAAGAAGTATGTTTCCTAACATATCTTTTCTTCTCACCTCAGATGAATTTACTTTAATCCATCATAAATTGTAAAATATCATTTTGATCACTGTCGGTATTACACGGACCTGTTTGAATGTTCTCAGCTTTTTCAGTAAAATTAGAAAAAAACCACAATTTACAAACAGGTAGATGTACGTTAAGAAAAAAAAACCTACCATGTGATTTCAGATATGGATGCCAATTCTTAAATATTATTCATTATTTCTGAGCTCAAGCGCTTAGAATGTTTAAAATGCAATATATTTATGTGGGTTTTCCCAGGATATTGGAACATACATAAAATATGCTTGTGCATATCTCAGCATTGTGTGTATTTATTTTAGGTTATATGTATACTGAGAATATATAAACAGTGTATGATAGTTAAATGTTATTTCATTTTTTGAGGGAAATTAACCTCCACAATTATTAACTATGCATAAAATGTAATGGCAGATATGACTTATATTGCATAGGACTGACTACAATTCCTCTTTAGAAATAGCTGTTCTTTGCTTTTATAATACTGGGAAAAGAGGAAAAGAGTTCGTAAAGAAATAGAAGGATTCCTCAAGCCCCTCTTCCCTAAAATATGCTCTATCATATCTCCTGGATTGACTGGAATATGCTTCTCTGCCCCCACCCCATTACCCTCTCAATGCAGTGGAAAAGTCGGTGGGTAATTGGGTCCAGATTGGAGGTGTTTAAATATTCATGAGGCTGGCAGGGGACTGGGAGGGGGTGACTGTCTAGAATGGGGGTAGGGGCTAGGGGAAGTGATTAGTCACTGAAAGCTAGCGAACAATTCCGAGAAAGAGACGGAGAGGGGGAAGAAAAAGACTGATAGATAGATATTGGGGGAAGGGAGAAAAAAGGAGGAGAGGGAAGAGGAGAGAGGCAGCGGAGAGAGAGCACGGGAGAGGGAGAGAGACAGAGAGAGAGAGAGAGCGCTAGAGAGAGAGAGCGAGCATGTGCGTTGAGCAATAGCTGTGGACCTTACAGTTGCTGCTAACTGCCCTGGTGTGTGTGAGGGAGAGAGAGGGAGGGAGAGAGAGAGAGAGCGCGCTAGCGCGAGAGAGCGAGTGAGCAAGCGAGCAGAAAAGAGGTGGAGAGGGGGGGAATAAGAAAGAGAGAGAAGGAAAGGAGAGAAGGCAGGAAGAAGGCAAGGGACGAGACAACCATGCTGTGCTGTATGAGAAGAACCAAACAGGTAGAGCTAAAGATTTTTACTTCTTGCTGTTGTGAAATAACCAGAGTACAGTATTTCCCTGTAAAGGCAAACAGTTTTTTTTTTTACTGCTTCTGCTCTGACCATGGTGCTCGTGCTTCCTTAGCATATGGTAACTGACGGTTGCATCCCAGCTTTTATTCTTTTCTGTCTTTCATGCTCTGGTTTTGGAATGCCACTACTAATTAGGGTGAGGGTAGAAAAATTATGCCTATTTGGCCATATATATATATATATATATATATATATTGCTTATTAGTGAATGCTCAGCATTTGAGGTCTATGGTCTTGAGGGTGTGGACGTAGAAAGGGGTGTGGGGAAGATGATGTGAGCTCTACCTACAAGATGGGGAGGCAATTCTTTATATTATTTGCAAAAAGCGAGGTTGAGAAAATAATATTGAGAACTGAGTATTGCCTCTCTGACATACAATTTTCTCACATGTGCTGCGGAAGATGCCTTATTTTGTACATGCATGAGCTTCGAAGGGGCACAGGTATTTATGGAAAAACGTGCAGGTTTTATTTATTTATTTATTTTTCAATGAATGAATGAAACTGTGATTTGATAGATTTCTTTGAAGAGAACCTAAGACAACTAGGGCTGGGGGTGGGGTGAGGTGGAAAAATTGGCCATGTAGAAGGGGAAAATCCCCTTCCTAAGATCAGCAGCCGATTGTGCACCAGCTGGTCGGAGGAGAGGGTGGACCACGCCCCTAGGAGCTCCGTTGGGATGGGAAAGACAGCCTGGTATTACCTGTTGGAAACAGGTCTTTTCTCCTCTCCCCTTCCCTTGCTTCTTTCCTGGGATTGTCAGTGACCAGAGAAGGGCTAACATCCTGGATAATAAGTATGGTGACTCATTTTCATTAAGAAGAGGGACACATCCAAGATTGGCAAGAATCAGAGCCCCTCCTTCCCTCCCCCACTGCCCAGGTTTTACAGCCATTTCCAATTGCTCGCTTATTTCTTCAAAGACATTTTAGAAACTTGATTGGGGTGAGAGTGGGAAGGAATGACGAGTGTGGTATTCCGCAGCAACCAACCATGCCATGACAGTCTCCAAAAGAAGCTTTCAAACATTTGTTGGAATGCATTTGAGTGATTTTGGCGAAGGTTAAGGAGAAAAATGGGTGTGGGATATGGGTGAGTGTGTGCGTGTGCATGCCTGTAGCGGGGGTGGGGGTGTGGTGGGGGCAGTCTTGGTCAAAGAAGCCCTTTGCAGACTGATTGCTTTAGGGGTGGGGTGCAAGAGATAGAATTTGGGTATTATTTCCAGTGCAGGTATTGGAAATTGGACAATTTGTAATACACTCCCTGAATCCGAATGGGGTGGAAGAGAGTGGAGAAGAAGCAGCCTGCCAGCTTAGCACGTTTAGCCAGCGCCCTGGAAGGAAGGGTGGGGAGTGAGGATGAAGGAGAAGGAACAGGAAGGGGAAGGGAGACAGAAGCAGAATGTAAGAACAGTGGGTGTAGATGTTTGGCATGCATAAATAAATAAGGTAGCAGCCATCCTGGATTGTATGGGGCTATTTGGGGAAAAGTCAGATAGTGGGGGATTGTGAGGAGGGGGTGTTTGCAGCATCTCCTGAAACTGCCCTATGGTTACAGAGATGGATGCTTCCACTGGCTCGGTTTTTCAAACCAGGGCATTTTCTCTCCTTGTCCTCCTTCATTTTAATATATAAATGTAATAAATACAGGTGTCTGGGTTAAGAACACTGTCAAAGAAAAGTCCTGAGGTTACTTCGCTGGTGAGCTGGGGAAATAAAATTTAGGAAGGTGGAGCACTAAGTAAGCCAAAGCTATTCACTTAAAAAGCTTTAATTTTGGAAAGAAAAATATTCAGGTTTATAATTTGTTCCCACCCTGTATGTACACAGACAAATATACATACATCTCCTTTAATAAAGGAAACCATGTATGATTTTTAGAAAGGGAATTAGAGCTAAAGGAATTCCCTCCCCAAAATGAAGACAGCTGCCTTCCCTGGGGTTCTATCTCACCAACCACCCCAAGCATTCACTCTGATGTGCAAAGCAATGAAGCTGAAATTGTGTGTTTAGAGTTGTAGAAATTCACATGTAAATGTGTACAGCATCCACATACTTCATATGCTACAGTTGCATGTGTAAGAGTGGTTTCCACATGCTTCCCTGTGTTTTAGCATCATTTGTATTCAAAAGAGAAAACGAAAGGTATAGAAATTGTCCTTATTTTGCTCATGCATTTCATAATGTGTACTCCCATGTGAAATGATCATGTTTCTTATATACCACTGTCGTGTATCATTCACATTAGCCAATATTTAGGATACCATTCAATCAGACTAAAGGAAATGGTGTATTCAGGGCGTGGGCTCACACTACACTGACTGGCATTTATGTAGCATGAGTACTTAAGTTTCACGCAGGTTTCCTGCTTGTAGATGAAATTCTATATCATTTATGACAAAATCCAGTGGTGTCCAACCTTCTGCTGACATCTATTCATCATCCTAATACTTAACAGGGAGTAAAACAAGGGCAAAAACCTGCAAAGGTCTAAACTCTGCCACACCCATAAAATCCAGCAGAAATGTGGGAGGGGGCTGAAGGGCTTGCACTTCCTTCCTCTTCCACTTGAGCGGCATAAAGAAGCAACCTTGGATTTCTAAGTTGGAATACATTGCCAGTGGATGAGAAAAAAAGCATAAATGATCTGTATTAGCCATTAGTTACCACTATAGATTATTATAGCAGGAAGAAGAGAATGAGGGTGGTGTGGAGATGAGAATATGGTAAAGGAGCGGTCAATGGAGGAATAAAATAAAAGAATCCGTAAGATTGTACTGCCTTATGATTTTCAAATATCTTCAGGCTTACTTTCAGTAGCTTAATTGCCATGTGGTTTCCAACTGATTAAAACTTGGCAAGGTATGATCTGTGTCTGCAAAGCAAGAAAACTATGAGGTGTTTCTTTTGTTGAAAAAGAATGACTTTAGTTTGTAATTGAAGTGTAAAGAATTTCATGCAAGCAAGTAGTCCCTCTACTCCCCAGCCCCCTATTCAAGCCAAAATCAGCTTTCTACCTCATACAACAAATAAATGTTATCTCTGAGAGTGTGATCTGTGGCTTAGAATTCCGACCTCACTGTGCCTTTTCCTGCAGTGCTGGGAAGGTGTGGAAGGATGCTGCCTTGCTGCTTGGTGCAGGCAATTCTTCCTAGTGATAAATGGGATTCCTCCCAAAGCTCTCTGAGCCACACGCATTGTCACCCAGGGACTTAGTGAATTAATTAAGCTGAGACATTTTACTTAATATAATTGAAGCTTCTTGTATTTTTTTCAATAGTGTTTTTCACCACAGATTTGCAAATTTAAACAGAAAAAAATACTTGAAGGGCACTTTCTTTTTTCTTTTCTTTTTTTGCCAAATTATCTGGACTTGCAGAGAACCTTAGAAAATTCATGGTGAGTCTAGAAAGTGTTCATTTCTGGTGACTCTGTAATTCCTTCTAACCCATGCCAGGGCCCATACACAATGAGCCCTGATTCCTCCTGTTGACAGAGTCTGTGTAACACTCTTCCCCAGCCCCCTCCCTTACCAACCCATGCTGAGGCAACTGGAATAAGAAAATGCAGAGTTAATTTTTTTCTTGCTAAGCTGGCAAAACTACAGAAACCTTCTTTGATGTTTCATGCTAAAGGGCAGTACTCCTGTTCACCAAGAGGGACGGTGGCTTGGGGTCTCCTTTGCTTCTGTCATAGGGAAATTGTCAGTGTTATGCCTGGGGCTGAATTAATCCACAGACTTCAGACTTTTACCTGGCCCCATGAGGAAGGGGACTGAGGTTCTTTCAGGCAAGAATAGAGCATATATATTAACCAATCATATTGATAAAGTAAGACAAGTCTTCCTCTGTTAATAGGCCAAAGAATGCACATAACCAGGTCATCTCAAGAGAAGGTACAGCAGCATTTAACTATTCACTTCCCTATGAGTTTTAATAAATGCATTAGGGCAAGCAAGCAGTGTCTGTTGCAAACTAAAGAAGTGATTTTATGCAGGAATTCTCCCTTTTGAATTTCTGAAGTGTGGTCAGGTGGCTTTTGTACCTTTGTAATTAAATCTTCATAACATTTTCAGAAGTGTGGGGAAGAATACTACACTGTGAATCCTTAGTGGAGGCCACTTACTGACTGTGATTTTGAATGAATCACATCATGTTGGGCTTCAGTTTCCTTCTGTAGAATGAAGAGTAAAAAGCAACAACCAAACACAAATGAAAAGATCCCACCTTAAGGATTTTTGTAGGGCTTAAACATACTTGATGTGAAAAAAAAAGATCAATACAAGCATATGAAATTTTTTCTCCCCAGGTTTTGCAATGTGAGGCTTGTCTTAGAGCCTCCAGTTTTTCAGGATGATCTAGTGCCTGCTATGTCTACCTTTCCCAGTTAGAGATGAGTTCCTTCTAGTCTTAGTTGAGCCTTCTGCTTGTGCTCTTGTTCCTTCCCTCCCAGAACCCCACTCCCTCATGCCCTTGTCTCTCTTGAGATTTCATCTTCTTGTGCTGCACTGGCTCCTCTCCTTATAGCTTATGAATATGCTTTTGCCTCATCTATCTTAAAGGATCCTCTCCTGACTCTGTGTCCCCATCTCTATAGTGCTCTCTCTCACTCTCCCTTTAGAACAGAGTTCCAAGTACTCTCCACACTCACTTTCTCCTCTTCTTCACTCCCCATTCACTATTCTATCTAGTTTAATTTGGCTTTTGTTCTCATAATTTCACTGAAAAACATATTCTGAAAGGGCACCTCAACCAGTGACCCTTCATTTTACATCTTATTTGATGTCTCTTTGGCATCTTGTGTTGTCCAGCCCTCTTCCTGAAACTGTCCCCTTACTGGGCCTGCATGATAGTAACAGCTCTCTTTGTTCTCCCTCTCTGATAAGACCCTGCTCAGTCTCCTTATAAGCTTTCCTTGCTCTCTTCACCCACCCCACAAAATCCATGATAACCTGGATCATGATCATGATTCGTTCCCCTCTCCTCATTTGACTCACTAATCCTAGGTGATCTCCTCATGTCATCCATGTCCAAAGCTTTAGCCACCTGTGTGATTGCCAGATCTGAGGACGAGATGTCTATTTTTAGCTTCTGATCCATAGTTATCTTGGTCTAAATTTATTATACACAAAACCAAACTCAGTGTCTTCTGTTTTGTGTCACACTTGATTTCCTTCACTACACTTATTGCTCTGACACTGTCCATACAGCCTCAGAGCTCTAGGAACCTGAGAGTAATCTTGAATGTACTTTCTTTCAACTCCCATATCCAGTTTCTAAATCCTTTGATTCTTTTAAAAGTTTGAATAAATCCTCTGCTTTTCTACCCTGTTTACATAAATAACCTGGCTCAGACTTTTCATGACTACTCATCTCTACAAAAGCAATAACTTTCTACATGGAGTTCTACCACCATATTGTTCTTTGGTTTACCTTGCAAATGGCACTGTGTATCTTTACACAATGCAAATTTGGTTGTGTTATTTTCCTTGTTAAAATATAAATGATTCAGCATGACACAATCTAGTTTTGCTTACCTTCCTAGTGCCAAACTCAAAACACCCCCCTTTGTTTTTTACCTGATGACGCCATAGCAAGATTTCAGGCCTCGGTGCCTTTGCTTGTACTCTACTCTCTGCCCACATTATACTTGCCTCTCGGCCTGAACTGTTCTCCCATTCCCTGCAAGAGTTAGCTCTTTGAAGCCATTCTTAACCTTCCTAATTAAGTTTTCTTCCACCTTCTTTTGCCCATGCTGTATGTTATACTATCTTTATTATCACTTATTGCACTATTTGACATTCATTTTTTCACATTCTGGTGTCCACACTCTGAGCTGCTTGGGGAAAAGGATGAAAACATAATTCTTGTTTTATCTCTACCATAATACTTGGTACATGAAATAACTGATGTTAACCATGAGTAATCTGTTTGCTAAATAAATATGGAACCAGGTTTATAGTCTTTTCACAAGCTGTAGCATATCTAAATGGATGGAATAACTAGGAGACTTTTCTAAAAATGTGTTGGCATGAAATTTTAAAGTGGAAATGATTATCAGTGATTCTTGTTATTGACTTACAGCCACCAGTTTTTAATAAAAAGTTTTTAATAAAAGTGACACAAAATGAACCCATTTATAGACTATATTTCTCTGAACTCCCATAGCTGGTACTATCTCCCCTCTATGTCCTCCTCCTCCAACAGCCAGCATTACAGCCCCACCCTTTCTGGATACCACAGCCTTGGATCTTCACATGCTCTTCCTTTGAGGCTCCAAGTACTTGAACTCACTGCTTTGCTTCACAACTATTACAGATAGACCATAAATCCATCTGTGTGATCCATGAAATAAATCAACTAACAGCAGCAAGATTATTAAAAAAAGGCTATGGTTTCCTGATACCTGCCAAAATATTAGCCTTCTATTTTATTTTAATAATGGTAAAACCTGAGAAGAAAACTATGGTTTTGCATGATATTAAAAAAAAAAAAAAATACATGTAGTGCTGGCCTGTGCTTAGGGGTGTGTGCTCAGAAATTAATTTTACCTTCATTTGGATTTCTTTTCTTTCCTCTGAAGTATCCACATAATAATATTTCATAAAGAGAAAGCACGATTGGAGGTACAGGGAGGGTGAATGGTAAGTAGTTCCTCAAATGACTGTTAAATGAATGTTAGTGTCAGATAAATTGGATTTTTCTTAGGTTTAAATAGACTGAAGGGATTTGATTTCTGAAGTATGCCTATTGTGCCCAGCATGGAACAAATTGCAACCACTGTTTTCCATGAAAATACTCTTGCCAGACTCTAAGTAGTGTATTTTCTCTGACTAAATTGGCGTGTCCATGAGAACAGCAGAAAGCCTAAATAATTTATAAGTGAAGTTTGTCTTCAACTGATAAAGTTCAGTAGTATTTGTCAATTGCCATACCCTCACTCGATGTCTTGCCCACTGTTCCCAATCTCTTTGGCATTGAGTTTTCCATGTTTTCCTCCTCCTCTCAGACTCAGGTAGAGTTCTTCTGATTGAGTAATACCAGCTCAAGCTAGTGTTTAGTGGATGAGGCTATGGAAGGAGAACTTTAAGACAAGGTGTGCTTCTTCAAACTTTCCAAATAAGTATTTTTAGGCAAAACAGGTATTTTAAGCTATGTTTGGCACATTTTAGATTCTCAATAAATATTTGTTGAAGGAACAAATGTAAGAAGGGAGGAATAATCATGATGGGTCATTAGGGGAGATATTTTGGGACAGATGACCACTTCTGTGTACCTATTCAGAGTGGGCTTTGTGTAAATGCAAGCTCAGCTCCATTGGTCCCCCTCACAAGATTGATGTAGTCAAAGTTTAGTTCCCTCTCCTGTCTGCTTAGATCCGAGAGACACACTTGCAGTCATTTCATTCGGGTTTAGCATGGGAATGTGATCTTCCTGATTTCCTATCCTTAATTATTTACAGATCCTATTTTCTTAGATGTTGTTTGTTTAATGTCCTGTTTCATGTCTTTGTAGTTGAATAGACCCTTTTCCTGGGTTCTAGACCTGGTTCTGCCAGTTGCTTGTCATGTGATCTTGGGTAAGTAATTTAACCTTTCTGAGCCTGGTCTCTGTCTGTGTAGTGGGCACATAAAAGGAACCCTCCAAATCCTGTCTTGCCTTTTTTTTTTTAAACTAGGTTGGTGTGTCTCAATTAAAGAGATAACAATAAAAGTGTTTTGCCAACAATGTGTTTTTGAAATGTGAGGTATTATTAATTGAGGAATTTCATAGATCGAGCCCTAAGTATTCATGGCTCTAAGCAAACAAGAAGTACCCTTGCTCTCTGTATAAAATACACACATTCTCCATTTCCACTCCACTCCTGTTCTCTTCAGAGTAATTTTCGTTTGTTTGTTTTGAGACGTAGTCTTGTTCTGTCACCCAGACTGGAGTGCAGTGGTGCCATCTCAACTCACTGCAACCTCCACCTCCCAGGTTCAAGAAATTCTCTTGTCTCAGCCTCCCAAGTAGCTGGGACTACAGGTGCTTGCCACCACGCCTGGCTCATTTTTGTATTTTTAGTAGAGACAAGGTATCACCATGTTTCCAAGGCTGATCTTGAACTCCTGAGCTCAAGTGATCAGCCCACCTTGGCCTCTCAAAGTGTTGGGATTACAAGCGTCAGCCACTCCACCCAGCCCAGAGTAAATATTAACCATGCCAATAGATGAGAGCGTAGTATGTCTTTATTATTTCTTTTGAAAACTTCAGTGGCCGAATTTAGATAAGCCAATATTCAAAGTGTCATAAGACCCAAAGGATCACTTCAAATGCATTAGCAATACCCACTGTTCCTCTCTTTATCTTTTTCTTTTATAGTCTTTTCTTCACACTTAGATCTCTTTTCTTCTCCATTTGCTAAGTTTGCTGCTACACTTCCATCCCCACCCCCACTTCACCTCCAAACTGGGTTCTCAGCGCTAAGATAAACCAGCATGCTGTGCTCACATCCATCACATGAGGGCCCAGTCAGGCAGAAGAGTGGAGAGAAAATGCAGAGCTGGTTGGGAGATTGAAAATGTAGATACAGCTTGATTGGGGAAAGCACATTTCAAAGATGATAACTTGATCACCATTTCCACAACTACATCTGGGTTCCTCAACACCACAGGAATGAACCTTGATTAGAGAGGTGATATGCAATCCTAAACCTTTCCAAACTCAACTCTAAATGCCGTGATCTTCTGAGCCCTCAGGATCTCCACAAAGGGCATTATAGTTCTCCTGTGTCCCTGGTTATGCCTGAGATAAATTACCAATTTATAACAACAAAAGTTATCAGATTCTCATATAAGCAATAGAATTATACGAACCAAAGAAACTGAGTTTCTAAATACATGGATAACATTTAGAAATATTTTAATATATAATAATTGAATCAAATTAGTCTAAGAGATTCTATGTTTCCTAGAAGCCAAAAGTTTAGCATAAAAACTTAGTATCATACATATTTTGCCAAAATACTTTTATACAAAGGGCTCATGTAGACTGTAATAGAAAGGTATGTTAACTAGAAATTTGAAAATAAACTGGTGTCCAGAAGGAAATAATGATTCATTTAATTATATTTATAGCTGGTTAATGGTGAATATCACCTTTAATCTTTCACTCTAGCTATATTCCTTTCTCCCTCTTCCACTTCAGGACACACTACTTCTATTATATATGAGTCTTTTGATTGGGAACAAGTATCCAAAACCAACTTTAAGAGTCTATAAAAGGAATTTATTGGGGAAAAAAAAGTAGAGATCATATGAAATTAATAAGTTGAACAACCAAGCGTATGGGAACCAGGGTAGAATTTCAATAACAGGAATTCATAAACTCTTCCTAGGGCCCTGCTTCAAAAAAGACCCAGTTATTAACAACCCCAGCTACAATTCTAAATTCTAAATAATGAGAGAGAAAGAGAGATGAGAGAGAGACAAAGGGAGAGAGAAACAGAGGTAGAGAGACAGAGAGAGAGAATGAGGATGAATAAATTTTATTGGTCCTGTTTGGGTCAGCTAGTTACTGCCACAGGGCCAATATCTCTGACTGGGAAAAAGATCTGGGTAACATAGTATAGAGACAATTTTGGAAAGCCCACACTTGTAAATCTAGTGAGAGAGTAAGTTGGTTGAGAATTAGTACCCTGCATATATACCTATATGTCCACAGTAGGTTAGCTACCCAAGCCGGGAAGGACTTATCTCAAATGTGGTGGACTGTTCATTTTTCCTTTTGGTTATTTTCAGTTTGGTCTGTATTACATATTATTGGTAGAGTTATTATCACCGATGATTCTAAAAGGAGGTAGTAACCACACAGATAACTGAAACTATGAGTTTATACACCTGATAAAGAAAGGTCAGAGCAAACCTTCATACCTAGAGACGACAGACACTGGGTTTTTGCCATCCTCCTGAGGCTTAACTCTGGCAGGTACCACCTGTCTAGGAGGAATACTAGCTACAATAAATTCTTGCTAATTTGGAATGGTGTAGCTTTGCTTTAACTTCTCTTTTTCAGGTTGTAAGATCTAGTTTCTGCAAAAAGATTGGACAATAATGGGTATAAAACAGCTCAACTGGATTTACATTGTAGAAATGCTACTCCTTGACATTAATCATCTCATTTTGAATGTTCTTGAATTAATTCCAGCAATAATCTCCATATTTATCTATTTTTAGTAAATTGGCACTTTGTAAAATATTGAGCTGTTGTCTCCATATGCACCAGTTTGCTCTAAATGTAGAATATTGGTAATTAGCCTTATATCCATTATTTATCATTCTAGTTCCAATAACTATTCAAAAATGTTATTTTTAAATGAAAGTTGGAAGGACCCTAATATCTTTCCATTAATGACTAGATGAAAAGCTAGATAAGGCAAAGAAAAAACTAAATAATATCATCTCCAAAGACTAAGCAAACTCAGAAATTGGTTGCTTTTTTAAGTGGCTGCAGAACTTCTTAGCATAACTAGGCTTGACTGGAAGCTGTGAAGATGCATATCCTCTTCCCATTCTTACTTTGCTTTGATTTTGAAACCAATGTATCTGCTTGGAATATAAGCTGAGAATTAAATTCCTCTTAATGGCCAAATTAGTTCCTATATCAGCTGTTTCCAAGGGATGTATTCTATAGTTCTACATAAATCTTAATAGAGGCAGTTGTCTCATTATTACCTAAAAAGGAAAGCAAGAAAAATATTGGGTATGGTGCACACGCTTGTAATCCCAGCACTTTGGGAGGCTGAGGCTGGAAGATTACTTAGGAGTTCAAGACCAGCCTGAGAAACATAGTGAAACCTTGTTTCTACAAAAATCAAAAAATCAACTGGGTGTGATGGTACATACCTGTAGTCCCAGCTACTCTGAAGGCTGATGTGGAAGGATTGCTTCAGCCTGGGAGGTACAGGCTGCAGTGAGCTGTGATTGCATCACTGCACTCCAGCTTGGATGTCAGAGTGAGACCCTGGCTTAAAAATAAATAAATAAAAGTAAAAATTTCCCAGTTTCTAAATAATTAACTTTCAGTTAAATTTATAGGTCCATGTTGTACTTAGGGTAGCCCACTTTGGTTGTCCAGACTCCTACTATCATTCCAGTAGGGAAAGGAATAAGCATTGAGTTATGTTTTGTGTGAACATTGCATTTCAGTCTTTTCTCTTTAAATCACTTTTAAAAAGTAGTATTTTATTTGAGAGGTGGGAAGGAATAAGAGACATCATAAGTGATCCATCTTAAACTCCCCCCATTTTATTTTCACCTAGGCACTTGGAGAATTTTTATTTCAAATCTAAGTTTTAGTGAATCAGTATTTCTAACATTTCTGAGATGTTTCAAAAGCAAAGGGAGAATGATATTGTTTTACTTAAGAAACACCAATTTATTCTTCAGTAAAATACAAACTGGGAGATTGATCCATTCAAACGTTATTATTATTTTTTTTTTTTCTGAAATGAACCATTTGCAATATTAACTCTCAAGGACTTGTTTACCCTAATGAAAGAGAAGGAAATTGTTTTCTCTATCACCTAGGAAAGTTACTCTGGAGAACTCAGGTTAGTATTAAATATTCATTTGAATAAGTCTTTCACGATAATCCTCTTAATTCAGTGTGCCTCAGGGCTTTGATTGCCTTTGGTTGAAAGACACAAGGTGATAGCTATTTGATAACTCAGCCAGATTTGTGCATCCATAATGATGGACAATTAACTGGAGAACTGCATAGAAAACCTAAGGACAAGACTTCCTTGCTTACACATTCTTTCTTCCATCTTAAACTTTATACCTTATGCCTCTTGAGTGAAACCAGTACAAGTATAGAGGAGGACATGAGAATTTCTATAATTGAAAAGGGAGAAGGAAACTAGAGTTATAAAATAAAATTACGGTTTGGAATTGGGCCATAACCTTCTATAGAGTAAAAACTGTCATGGGATCATTAATGACCACAGATGGCTCAGACCTTACTTCTGAACATCGTCTGGAGAACACAATAAGCCCAAGAGAAACAGTATTCAGAAAAGAATTCAAAAAGTACTCTGCAGGACTAGGTGAAAAAAAAAAAAAAAGCGTGAGCACTAGTATGCTTAAATATGCATAACCAAACTTAGGACCCAATTGAGTTTTTATCTTCACTTAGCAGAAGGAAACTTCTAGTGTTCTCCTATATTATCATTCCATTGTCATTGGAAACTGATTGGTTTGTGTACATACTTCAGTCTATTTTATTAATCACATCTTACCCGAATTGTTACTTTTACCCAACTTGAATATATAGTAAAACTCCATCTGTAAAGAATCAAACCATAATAACCATAGGAATACCAATAGGAAAATTAACTTTCCCATTATCTAAGGTATTAAAAATATTATGTTTCTCTTTACCCTCTGTGGTTACCTCAAAAAGTGTCATGTTAAACTAATTATCTTCTTTGCAAATTAGACTTTCTATTCCCCTACTCTTTAACAATGTCTTTTAGAGATCCCAGCACATTCTGTTTCCCAGCTCATAACAGAAATAATCGATTACTCTCCTTCCCTTATA